GAAAGACCCTGGTCTGGCCACCTCCACCTCCAAGGTTCTTCCTGTAACTCCTCACAGCAAGGGCACCAAGCCCAGGTGCTTTCAGCTTGAGCCCCAAGGCAGCACTGGATGCTTGCTGAGGAGAGGGGTGTGGCGTTTCAACTGTAGTTGTTGCTTAAAGCAGCTGCTGGGGCCCACCAGTTGACAGAAAGAGCTCTCTGCTCTAGTGCCATCCCCAGAAGGCCTAACACTTCCCAGCATCCCGGAACTGTCCCCGAGGAGCCCTGATGGCAGCCTGACTGGCTTCATGATCTTGGGAAATGCACTTAACCTCTCCATGCCTCAGCTGGCATCTGGGAGGAGATTCAATTACATGGTAATGAGCCTGGATCCTGCAGGGCCTTCCTCTTAATCACCAGCTGGAAAATGCAACCATCTAAGAAACAGGCAGGCCACCCAGCCACGACCTCATTAACCTAATCCTGTTAGACTCCTTTGCTCTCCTTAGTTCAGCTACAGGACTGCTGGCAAGGGTGACTTTTGGGAACAGAGGGCTCTTCGTCCAGGGATGCTGCATCTGGGTGAACTGTGCCGTGGACATGACGCAGGGGTGGCCCACCCATGGCACGGGTGGGGCAGAAGTTCTCATGGCTGGATCTAAAGTGGGTTGTGAGACATCTGTGTGCCCAGGTAGCCCCAGCCTCCCTCTATATGGGGGTCCTGCGGCCAGCACTATTCTCAGCATCATACTGGGCTTGGCCACATCAGGGCTCTGAAGCTAGGCACCGTGTCACCAGAACATATTATTTAATCTTCACTACAGTTCTGTACCTTCCACGTTTTACAACCTAGGGAAACTGAGGCTCAGAGTAGTCAGGTAGCTTTCTCAAAGACACATTGCAGCAGAACTGGATCTAATCTTAAATGGCCTAACTCCAAAACCTATACTTTCAGAGGTATCTGGGTATATCTATAATAAGTTCCTGCAAAGTGTCCATTCTTCTGGATTAGAATCTGTATTGTGTGTCAGGGGATTGTTAGAGATTTGAAACCCTTCTCTACATAGGATAGAAGACACCTCTCAGCACGGCTGCCATGCAGTGAGGAAGCCCAGGCCACAAAAAGCTACCTGGATGTGTTCTGACAGATGGCTCCTGCTTTGGCTTCAGTCAACATAACTGTCAGGTGATGCCATCCCTCTGCCTAAGATGTCCCAACTGATGCAGAGTGGAACAGGGACAAGCTATCTCAGCTGAGCCCTGCCAAATTTTCGGATCTGTGAACAAAATAAATGATATTATGGTTTTAACACTAAGTTTTGGAATGGTTTGTTATGCAGCAAACTGGAACTTCCTGAACTCACTGCATCCCAGGACAGCCCATCATAATCATACACAGGGCTGCCCACTGAGGTCATGCATGTTGTGGCCTGGGCAGGCCTGGACTCAGCTCACCAAACCGGCCCTTAGCTCTGGTGCAGAGTGTCTTCTTGTGAGTGGTCAACTTTTCCTTTTTCCTACAAAAGCACTCTATAGGCAAGCTGCCTCCCTGCTTCCAGATCTTAAATTCCTAGAACATTTTTTCTTCATTTTGAATGAAACCTCCACTTCTAAATTTCCATTCATTTGTCCTAATTCTATTGCTTGGGTCCATGTGGAATTAACCTAGTTTCCTTCTGGTGTTTGGATTGTCAAAGTCATCTCCCAATGGCCTCCCTTCTGCCTATCTGGCTAAAGCTCTCAGTTCTTTTGGGCTTTCCTCTTGGAAGGAAGGAATCTTAGATTCTTCGCCATTCTGGTTACCTTCCTTCTTCAGTATCTCTGGCAAAGTCTGCTTACATCTAAATCGGGTATATCTCCTTAGATTGGATCTGGCCAGCATCTGAAATGAGCACTCAAAAGGCTCTGTTATGTTGTTTTCCCAGTTTGCTTGAAAGGTCAGTTTAATCAGGTGTTGACCACTTGCTCTAGGCCTGTGGGCGGGGACTCCTTGCTGCCCCAAGGACACAGACTCACTCTCTGTGACCAGGAGGCCAGGCCCGAATTTGCCTATGACGTCAAACTCTGCAATCAGCTTTGCCACAGCTCTGCAGCCACTAGCTCTATCTAGTTTCAAAATATTTTCATTACCCCAAAAGGAAACCCTGTACCCATTAGCAGTTTTTCTCCATTCCTTCAGCCTCTAACACACTGATCTGCTTTCTGTCTCTATGGATTTGCCTATTCTGAATATTTCATACATATACAATGATAAAATTGTGATTTTTTGTGTGTGTCTGGCTTCTTTCACTTAACATAAATGTTTCAAGGTTCATCCATTTTGTAGCATCTATTTCTTTCCCTGGTCCAGTCAGAAAGGCTGGCCCTGGTCCACTGTTCCTGCTTGTCTACCTTCTGCTCTGGGTAACCTTAGAACTGTTTAGGTCTCGATGTTTGGGTCAGCAAATCTGGGATACTGTCAAGAAGGCCAGACCGCAAATCTATTCTTCTGTTCTGGGTGAGGAAGATAAACGAGGAGCGACTTTTCTGATTTCAGAGTCTCTCTTGGTCATTAGAAGGGGCTGATGGGTGACTTAGTCACTGAGAGTTAGGGCTTGGGTGAGGCCCCGATAAGAGGCTAGTGTAGGGTGAAACCCTCCCTGGCTTTCCCATCCAGCCTTCCAGGTAAGGTGAAACCAAACTTTGGAGTCCCAGCTAGATCAGAAAAGACCCTGTAGCCCCTTTACTTCCTGGAATCTTTGCCTTCCAACATCCAACAGGAAATGGCCCATCAGAAGAAAGGTCAGAGCCTGTGGGACACGTCCAGTCCAGTTCGGGATGAACCCAGGTGTCTCCTGGGCAGTGATGAGCATTTTGTGACAATAAGATGGGCAAAGCTTGCACAGACGTCCTGACGTATCTGGTGGACCAAAAAAAGAGGCAGAGAGAAGGAGATGGGGAGGCCATGGAGAGAAGACCAAACACCCACTGGGGGGTTTAATGCTCTCTCTCCTTTGCTGTCTTCTCAGAGATAGACTTCTTTATATTTTTCTTCTTCTCTTTATTTTTCTCTCCTTTTCATTTCCCCCTTTTCTTCTGCAGCTCTCCTATCTCAGAGTAAAAGCCAAAGGCAGACAAGTCCCTAATGATCTGCTTTCCCTTCCTTCTGAACTCATCTCTTTACTGTTCCTTGAATTCCCTGGGTTCACTGCCACTTCAGGGCCTTTGCATCTATTGTTCTCATCTTCTCCCAGATATCTGCATGCTGCCACTCTCGCGGCCTTCACGCCTTTACTCAGATGTCGCCTCCTCTCCCATCCTGTCTTAAATTCCAATACAGCATCCTATCCATTTCTTACCATATTTTCTCTTAATATTAATTGCTAGCTAATGTGTATATGTATCATTTTTCATATATATATATTTTTGTATGTCCATCTGACTAGTCTGAAACTTGTATTAGGGCAGGGTTTTTCTCTGCTTGGTTCACCACTCTATAGCAAGTCCTGGATAAATATTTGTTGAATGAATGAATGAATGAATGCTATGCACTCATGCCCAGGGAACCTGAAGTCTTGATGAGAGTGCTGTTTCCTAGCCCTGGGCATGAAATTGAGAATGGACTTGAATACACAGCTACCCCTGCTAACTCCAGCATCACTGGCTTCTATGAAGGGTTGGCAATAGCCTGCTCCAGTTTGGCCAGACAGGTCTGAGGGGTGGCAGAGGTATGACTGTAGACTTGACTTTAACCTAGTCTTTACCAAGTACAGAAAACATACTGTGACTTGCCCAAATAGAACTTAAAGTTCAGGAAATCCAGTTGCTCCAGTTTTCTGTGTGCATAGCTCTGGGCAGTGTGAACTGGTTGACTTGAGCTCTTTCTGGATGCTCTGAGCAGAAATAGCAGGGAATAGCTGGGGGTTGGGAGATTTTCCTGACTTTATATATCTGACACAAGTGATTAATAGCATTGGATGAATGTAAAGGGGGCCTTGTAACCTTGGAGGGAAATTTAGGACCCTTGGAATCCCCTTTAATATTAATAATCCCTTAATTATTTAGAAAAGAGGTTGAGTTTTAATCCAGAAAAGCATATGTCCCTTATATATTGTATGTGTGTGTCTGTGTGTCTCTCTGTGTGCATGTGTCCATGTGTGTCTCTGCGTATGTTTGTATGTATGTCTGGATGTGTCTGTGTGTCTTTGTGAGTGTGTCTGGATGTGCCTGTGTGTATTGACGAGATACACATCAGAAGGGCAGCTCTGGATTCTGCCTCTGTGACAGTCAAGACAGTCTCTGGTGTGTATAGTGTTTCAGTGGCAATATAGCTTTCTGAGACTTAAGCATAATAACTTTATCTCCTTCTGTTTTATTTCTCCAACACAGTGGTTTTCAAGCCTGTCTTCACATTAGCCTCATCTGGAGAGCTTTATCAAATGCCAATGCCCAGGGATTACTGCCACTGATTAAATCAGTTTCTGGATATGGGACTTAGGCACTGGCACGTTTTTGAAGCTCCACAAGTGACCCTAGATGCAGCCTGGCCTCTGCTTCACTGCTTTAATATCCTGTGAAGTGTGCATTGAGAGGCTTTAGTTGGGTCCAGAAGAAATCTCACTGAACTTGGTTGGACCCAAAAGGTTTCGGTACTGTTCTGTCATTACATCACCTTTGACCTTGAACAGGTTATTTTGTCTTTCTGGTTCTCGTCCTCAACTTTCTTTCTTGGTAGGATGAGGATCATCACTCCTTCCTGCTCACTTCCTGTCCCTGGTTTTTTGTCATTTATGTGAAATTGAAAGGCTACATAAATGCAAGGAAATATTATTAGCATTATATGTTAGCCCTTTGTAAAGATCAAACAAATGAAGCCAGAGGCAGGTGTATAATTACAGCAAGGTCATAGTGAAAGAAAAGCATGTACTGTTGTATATTGAGTCTGACTCCTGGCGACCCTATGATGTCCACAATGTTACTTACTCTATGGTTTAGCTTTGCAAAAGTTGCCAAATCCAGTAATGCCTGTACTTGTAATTCCAGGAGCTGACACTAGGTGGTGCCTGATCCACGGCACGGACGGCTAAGGTATGATTCGAAGATGTTTTGCTCTTTTTGATTAAAATAAAATTATTTACTGACCTAATCATTTATATATCAAGACAATAGTTTAAATGTCCTTCTCACATTGTCTTTGCACAATCAGGTGGTGGGTTTCATTCTGCCCAGAGGCGCCTTCTTAGGTGCTTCCTCTCCTGAGGCTTCTGGCTATTGTAATACAAGCCCTCAATCTGGGGCCTGAAGTTGGTTCTGCCGGCTCAGATTTCGGAGCAACATCAAAAAGCTTTGCTTGCTGGCAGGGAACCAGGGAGAGGCCCACTTGGCTCCTCTGCAGACTTAATTAGCTCTTGAGCTGCTCCTCCGTCAATCTGGCCTTTTCTGCTCCTCCTCCCCCCTTCGCATTTAAGGGGGGAGAATCTCATTTTCTGCTCCCAGGAGCCCATTCTTTGCAAGTCACTTCAGCTTTCTTTCCTCTCTGTGATCTGGAGAGTGAGATGGAGATGTCATGGTGGGTTATTGTAAAAGGTAACTGATACTTTTTCTTTCTGCAATTAAGGAAGAGTGTCTTTGGTAACTAAGCTAAATCATTCATTCCTTCTATCTGTGAAACTTACTCCTAACCCACTCAACAAGTTACTTTGCATAAAATAACTCAGTACTTTCACAGAACCAACCTAGCAATTTCTATTAGGTTTTCCTGTAAGAACCTAGGTTGTTTAGTTTTGTTGTTGTTGTTGTTGTTGTTGTTGTTTACCTCTTCCTCTTTTGGGGAACACATCTGAACTACACGGTTGTGGATGTTATGGCTCAGTTTATGTAAATACACACAAAATTTTCAGAACAACACACAAGAACCAAAAGTGTTTGCCTCTGGGAAGGGAACTAGGTGTTTGAGCTGGTACATGTTCTCATGTAAAATTTTCTATGGCAGGGAAAGCTTGAGGATTTTCTAGCTGATTTAGTGCAATCTTATTTCACTCCACCAGACCCTAGAGAATAGATATAGAGGAAAGGGGACAGCCTTCACCTTGCTGTCTCACCAGCAGTCCAGGTCCCCAGTGATCCCTTTCTTAGGCTTATGGGAGGTCAAGGTCATAGAAAGTGGGTTTTTCCAGAGAGGTATACAGATAGGGTCCAACTAAAGAGGTCACTGGGGAAAATTGCTGAGTGCTGTCTGCATGAAGTCTTCACTGGCCCCAATAAGATGAATAGCTTGAGTGGTGATTGGCTGTAGGCAAGAGAGGGGCTTGGTTTGAGTGGAGGCTGGGACTCTATTTGTATCTCTCTATGGTGGGACTCTATTCAGTTTCTGGACTCTAGAACAAAGTCCTTTACTGGGGTCTTTTGTCCTGTTCTTCCTACCCTCGGTTCCCCAGATCACCACCCAACTTCCTGCCAATCCCCTCTTATAACACCTTCCTCTCTTCCCTTCTTCCTAAAACTACCTTTTAAATCTCTGAGAAATCCTTCCTTTCCCCAGAGGCAAGTCCTTTCCTCTCTCTCCTTCTTGTTCTTTCATTGTAGACCATGGTGGCCCATCAGATCTGATCCTCAATCAATCAAACACCAGGTCTCTCTTCTTCCATGACAGGCAAGCCCTAACCTCTCAACCTTTTCAGTAGGCAGAGATACATAGCAAAAACAAAAACAGTTGAGGTTTCATCTTACAATGGTCTGACCATTGATAGTCTACCTCTTCATATTTAAATAAAAACATATCTGAATAAAACAGAAGTTTCGAGTCAACATATACTAGCTTTGACTTTCATTTCAACCACAGTGAGCAGCTTTGTGGAGCAGGCTTTTCTGTCCCATTTTTAGGACTTCGCACATCCTCTTCCCTCTGCTTGGAGCACACTTGCCTTCCCTTCTGTGACCCTTATCTTTTTACAGAGTTTCCTTTGGACATCTCTTCATCCTGTAAAAGTGTATTTCTCAGACACAGTTATTTGTTAGCATGTGCCAAACTTATTCAGCTCATGCATGAATGAGGTGTGGTAAGTAAAGGTCCCCAATTTATCCACACCTTGATGTATCTACACCTTTTCACGCTGCTTGGCCATGACATGCTTTGGCCAATGAGATGATAACAAATGATATAAAAGCAGAGACTCCAAAAGCACTTGAGTATTGGTGCTTTGCTGTCACTTGCTACTCTTGGAATCCAGTATCTATGGTATAAAAAGCTCGGGCTAGCCTGCTGGATGATGAGACGCAAATGATCCAGTTATCCTTCTTGCTTTGGTTGCCAATCAATAAACATGTAAATGGGGCCACTTTAGATCATTTAGGTACCAAGTTTTCTGCCAACTAACTACAGATGCATAAGCAAGCCCAGTAGAGATAACTTATGCCATCCCAGACCAGAAGCACTTCCCAGCTAAAACTCAGAATCGTGAGTTAAATAAATGATTCTTGTTTTAAGCCACTCATTTGGAGTTTCGTTACACAGCTGAAGCTAATTGATACATGAAGGAATCAGCAGAAATAAAAGTAGCTGGTTCGCTAAAGATGTGAGAAACTGAGATTTATACAGTAAATGGGAAAATATACTGAAATAAAACTGTAAATTCAATGTAAAACTGGTTAATATCCAACAGGATAGTAAAAAGTAACCTTTGGAGTAATCTTCTATCAAAGACTCAGAGATGGTAGTGTTTAGGAAATAAAAGTTTATCTTCAAAGAATGTCAGGGAGTAAGGTTTCGTAAGAGCTGGCTTGTCAAATATAAAACATGATGAACATTTAAAGAAAAAAACTGCTAAATCACCAAAGTTGGCAAAAAACATCAGCTTTCTCAGACTATAGTCATATCCCCAAAGGTCATGCCATAGCTTCAGTTTTTAGCATAGCAAAAATCAAGGATAAATGGATTTTCTTAAGGAGTTCGGGTTTACAGAAAATAGTCAAAGTTTTATAATGTACTGAATCAAAGCCGGCCAACTCCGCACATTTCTTCCCACCTCTGGCTCAATGACATCACATTGGTAGCTTAAAATTGGGCATGGTGCGAGTATTTACACCATGGGAATCAGCAAATGATATAAATTAGGGTTTTGGTTTATGAGAGCCAGTTTGTTTACCCCACACCACTCAGTTTGCTCATCTCTGGTCCAAGAAATAGGATTTGAGAGCTGTTGACCTAGGATGGAACCAGCAAACTATATCCTCTGGGCTGAGCCCAGCTTGCTGCCTGCTTTTATTCTGCTCATGGACTAGGAATAGTATATATATATTTAAAGAGTTGTAGGAGATGGAAAGAAAGAAGAGGAAGATGAAGATGGAGGAGGAAGAGAAGAGAAATGACAGAGATCGAATGTCCCTGCAAAGCCTAAAATGTTTAATATCTGGGCTTTTTTTTTTCAACTTTTCTCAAGTAATCTGATTTTATTTTATTTCTTATTTTTTTAATTATTAGCCCCCAAGTAGACTGTGTCTGTCAGGATTCTCCAAAGAAAAAGTATATATATATATTTTGCATATATATATTTTGCATATATATATTTTGCATATATATATTTTGCATATATATATTTTGCGCATATATATATTTTGCATATATATATTTTGCATATGTATATATTTTGCATATGTATATATTTTGCATTCTGAGTTCATGTCCCATAGTTAGATTTTGTGTATCGCCATATATTTAACCCCTTTTAAACCCCATCTACCTCTCCCCACCACAACACTCTGGTAACCACTAGTCTATTGTCCATGTCCATGATAATATCTGGCCTTTTATGGGAAAATGTTTACTCATCTCTGACCTAGGGGAACTTCCTAACCATGATTGCACATTAAAATTACCTTGGAGAATTTTTAATACATTCTAATGCTTGGAACCCATGATGCTTAAGGTGGGGTCTGTATATTTAAAAGCTCACCAGGGGACTCACCCTTTTTTTTTCTAGGGTCCCAGGTCTCCTGGCTCCTACCCTCCCTCTCAGCTTCCCCAGCTTGCCTCTATTTCCATTCCAACCTGGTCCCAGCCACCCTGAGTATACCCTGTCCCAGTGTGAGGATCTCTTTAGGGTTGCCTTGGGTCTGAAAGGCATTGTTTCACCTGGAAACAAATGAGGGGAGTGTACAGGGCCTCAAGGTGAGCACAACCACAGATGGGGGGTCGGAGAAGGGTGGTTTAAGAGGTGTGCTGATAGCCGAGCTATGTTTTGCTCACTCCCTCACTCCCACCCCAAAGCTTGGAGCTCACCAAAGACATTGGGCAGAAATATTATTCCTAGTTGTGGGTAAACTGGGTGGAGGAGAAACTGTTTATCACCTATGTCTTAGGCAGGAAGAGTATTTAATTTTTTTTTTCATCTCACTGAATACCCTTGAGAAAGAAGAGGGAACAGGGTCTTAGAAGATGCACCCCTCACCTGCCATATATGTGCCTGCTTGCTTTGAGATATAACTATAATGAATGTGGCAGGTGGTTTTTAACCAACATACCAGATCTAACAACACAACTCCTGGGACTTGGGCAGACTACCTAATCTTGGGAGGCTGCCATTACTTAAGCCATTGTGAAACTTCCTCGGGAGCCACTTCCAGAGCCTGCAGCAAACTCTTTTGAATTTATTTGGTGTTGATAATTTTCTTAAGTTATTTTTTAGAAATAACTAAAATTCAATTAAATAGATTGATACAACATGGAGTAAAAAAAAATTCAATAATTTGTGCAATGTGAAGAAATTAAGTGTAAAGTTAGGTGGCATAGCTTCGTGGTTAAGAGCATGGATTCCAGAACCAGATCAGCTGGGTTCAAAGCCAGCCTGTGCCACTTACTAGCCCAACAAACTCTGTCAAGTTACTTAAACTTTGTGCCTTATTTTTCATATCTGTAAAATGAAATCATACAGTTACCTCACAGAGTTGTGAAGATTCAAGACATTATTGACACATAAAGAGCTCAAATCTTCATCGTTATTATTAGAGTCCAAGTGCGGTTTGGAGGCTATTAACATACTGGTTTGGAGGCTATTAACAACTATTAACAACTTCTAGAAATGTTTTGGGCC